GGAAATGGCCAAGGCCTCACAAAAACAATAATTGACACGTATATAAATTGTGAGAGTGTTTCGCAATTGTTTCGCAACATGCCAAATAATGGTAATTAATGTTAGAATCGGTTCTTTGGAACATGCCTGGGTTTCCTGTTCACAAGTTTAGACTATGGCTACTAGAACATACTTGTCAAGGGACACTGACAGTTGCGTGCGGTGTGGACCTTGGTTGGTAGTATTGCTGCATGCGTGGACGTAGTGTGAGGAGTAGTGGCCTTCTCAGAGTGATACTTGGTGGAGTACTATGTGATAGGTGAATTCCCCGAGGTGGTGTTGATGGTTACGTGATAGTTGTGTGGGAAGCGTCCCACCTAGTGGTGTTGCGTAGACATTGTGTTCTGTTGAATATGACGAGCATCGCAGACGTGTGGACGAAAGCCCGTTGTGCGAGAGATGTATGGGGTGTTGCGGGAAGAATGGCGGATTGTATGGTGGAGTTGTTTGGTGGTGTGGGCAACACCAACCAACACCACCATGAGGTAATATCTCCGTCACAACGAAATTAGATTCACACACAACCGATATGTCTACAGTAACCCCTCACGTCATGATGACTACCTCGTAGTGTTAATGGTTATAATTGCAGCGATGTGCAACCCCTGCATAGTTTACACCCTGCACGGCCCTTCGGTACCCTCCACAATAATTCTAGTCTACAGCATCCCCCCACGCTACATACTGTAATTGTTAAAGTGAATTCTCTAGAAGTATGCGATTCAGTGTGTAGATTGCATATTTGAGTGCGCTACCGGTAGAATACAGAATGCGCATTGTCCATAGGGCTGGGGGGGCAATTATTGTAGAGGGTTCTACAGAGGGGTTCTATAACTTTTGGTTTCGTACATCAAAGGTGGTGCACATCGCTCGCTACAATGGCAGCGATCAAAGCTGAATGACAGCATCGGTGGTGGTGAGCATCTCCGTTCTACATGTGCATACCTAGTGCTCATTGATACTTGAAGTATTACGCTGTAAAGTTAACCTCGCTCAGCGGGCACTTAATGGCCTCACGTTTGTACTAGATGACCTACATATCCATTGTTTTCATCGACGATACCGGTATGGTATCATGTATAGTCTACATAGAATTGAACAATTTTCCAGATTCTGAACGAAAAGTAAGTTCACAAGAGGTACAGTACGTAGTAGTTCATAGTGAAGGGGGAACAGGTAGTATAGGGTTGTTAACGTGGCGAATATTGGACACTAACGTTAACCTTTAATTGGGGGGCGCTATAATGTATCTACACTACTTGTAGTTGTGGCAATGATTGAATAGTTGATAATGTCTGAATACAACATGCAGTCTCCCCCTTGCACTGTTATAAAGCCCTTTCCCAACAAATATTTTACATGCAACACTGTATTACGTGTGGCTGCTCTTGGCTTACATAGTGTAATATGTAGAATATTCCACAGATCCCCCCGCATCAAGTTGAATCCTAGCCTGCCCGACACCACTGCAAGCACTGTACACTTAACACGGAAGTTTGGGGGGCGTTATTACGTAGAAGTAATAGCTGCGAATACACCGGAGTAGTAGCAACAACCAACGGGACTCTACAGATGATGTTTTGCTGGATTGGATGCAACCACTACTACTTATTCCTCAAAGTACTTTAATTCAGTGTTGTATTCAATTGAGTTGAGTGCAGTAGTTTACAATGCACAAAACAGCAGCAGCCACAAGTAATGTGTGGAATGCAAAGCAGGGCTTTAACGTTATGACAGGCAACTACAATTCAAACGATATCAGCTAACGTTACGACTGTAGTATCCCCCAAATCAATTTCAAAACTAGAAGTTACTACTACGTAGTACATAATTGCGCCCCCTACCGTTCGTGACTAAAAATTCCCAACTTTCGACACCCGCATATTAGCCCCCCTTCACTAAGTACAGCATCATCCCGAAAGGAATTACATGAAGTGGCCGCGTCAATCGATAACATTATCGAGCTGTTAAGTTAGCCATAGTTTGCGCGGAAAGTATTGAATTCTAGACTACGAAGCATACACCAGAAATCTACAAACGTTATCGGTGATACGGGGGCTCTAAACTTCAAATCGCTAAAACTATTTGACCATTCGTCAGGGTGGTCTATTTCAATCAGGCACCATACAGTAGTTTCAAACGATCTCGTTCGAGGTTTGATGCATACTAGTACACTACTATTAAAGCACTCATGCCCTACTCTACATCCAGTCCTGCATATCCTTGCTTGGTGTCGTTTTGTGCTCAGTGTGTATTCACTTACATGATTCGTTGCGTGCCAATGACCACGACAGGACTGTTGCGTGCCAATGACCACGACAGGACTGCGAGGACTTGGTTAGCTGTACCAGTGTTGTAGGATGAAAAGGCAATATATAAGTGAGAAAGAAAAAGTGACTAGTTGCGTGGGATTTGAACCCGGTACATCTACGTTACAAGTGAAGTCTTGTATCCACTGCACCGCAGGATTGAATTTTATTGAATCGATACATTTAGTACCATTGGGTGAGATCAGTGCCAACCACTTCAGCATCACGATACTGATTGGTAGAAAACCACTATTTTAACCAATACAATTAAACGAAAATCAATATTTTCGTGTTTTCAGCCTATTAGCACCAGTACCACATGTCCAATGTCGCATGTATACATCTCAACACCTTGCGCATATCATGCGTGACATACAAGTTGTCGCACGACTATACAGTAGTATTACTTTTTTCGTTCGGACCACTGTTGCCTGCTCTTATTGCAAATTATCCCACTGCTTGTCCGATTAAAATTCTGTCAAGTAGTGATTATCCCACTATTTGTCCGACTTCACTGATGATAGCTGGCCCGGCCTGTGCAAAACCCAAAACCTAAGCCAACCTTGAAGTTTTGCTGCAAAGGCAACTCTCGCCACAGCTGTCGTTTACTCCGGCGTAATATATTTGTGCAAAAACTGAGTAGAATGACATGCATTCCGTGGGTTTGAACGGTTTTCAGATATGGCTGGTCGGTTTTCAGATTTATTGAACGTTTTTCGGTGTTTGCCTAGTTAGATTGGTTTGTTATGTACTTCGAAATACGAGGGAATGGTCCGCCTAACGTTGTCTTCGACCTGATATGAAATGTGGCTGATTTTTGGCTTGCTGACTCTGGGCTCGGTTATGTGACACTTTTTGGGACCGTTCGACGGACGGGTTCCTTTACAGTTATTCCAAATTGCTACTACGGTAGTATTATAATAGTGTTTCTTAACGAGGAGGATTTATATAGTTCGTAGGACTTAAAATCATGTCGAAATTCGTATTGGTTTTGATGAAAAATGAACTAAAAGCGTGAAAATATCCCATTTCTACGCATCTATTTAAGTGGGAGAGCCGTTCCTCCTACACGACCAAATGACTTGACATTTGTATCGGAAACAACACCACGACTGCGTCACTT